AACTTAAAAGGGTAACATAACCTCATTTTTAACCCTTGACTTGTGACCAGACCCAATCCCATTAGTGATACTCAGTGTGGTCAGAGGTAAAACAGGCAGGGCAGTAAAACACTTCTTTTCAATCTGGTGTTCGGTCACTCTTAAACCTGTGTCTGGGTTAACCAAAGACTAAGTGAAAAAAGTCCCTGCTCTGGAGGTAGTACTTTCCAATGATTCAGAAACTTCTTACTTCCTCTGTTTCTTTCATGGCTCCTGGGATTTTTTGGTCAAAAAGGGCTATAGGTTATTTCATTAGATTCTGTAACATCCAAACACACTTAGTCACCTTAATCTTGGCAAAAAATTGACGAAAGCAACCGCGGGGGTCCACCTTGAGGCTTTTTGCCAACTCTAGAATGAACTGCATGACGATGGTCTGATGAGCCACCTGCCCCATCAATGCGTGTTTCTAGAAAAAAGGGAAGCATTTTTAAAATAACGTCAACATTTCAAAAGAACACAATGGCTGTGTGAAGAAAGCAAGTTGTGGCAAATGAAGAAGATTCCTCAGTTAAACCCAAACAAACTAACTTTAGTATATTTTAACCTTAAAATACATGCAACGTATGGAATGGAAAGAACAAAATGTTGAAAAATAAATTCCGTTTTGTAGCATTTACCTCCTCAACTTCAAGGTCAATGCACATGATGACCAGGTAGTTGGCAGTCTCTTCACAAACTAGATGAGGGTTGTCAGAGAGGTACTTTTGACTGTCATCCCAACGTCGCAACATGCCTGCAGTAAAGACAGCAATTAAGGACAGTCGCCACTTTCAAATATCAATACCCTGTAACATGCAGTAAATAACAATCGGGAATGGATGTCAATAATCCTTACCAAAATGTTTGATCTGCTTCTCATATTTCTCCACAAAGGTTTTATGCTTTTTCTCCTTCTCTTCTTCTGTCTCTTCAGTAGAATCAGGGTTGATATTAACAATGCTCTATGGAGGACAGTTTGAGAGAATAATGATTACTTGATTCCTTTATATTCCTTATATTAACTTATCTATATATGAAAGCTGCATTATTAGACTTCAAGCAAATCCTGTGTAAAATTTGAAGAAACGATTTCAGGTTACATTTTAAAGTGAATTAGTCCCTCTGTATTTGTGTGACACACTGCTAATTCCTCCAACTACATATCCATTTCCAAGTCATCCACTTTTAAATAATAAATTACACATGCACAAAACATGCAGTGCTACTGCAAATAGCAACTAATACTACTTCACTAATGCAAATGTATCTGCTGTTTTTGTAACATAAACAATGCATATAAATACAGATTTAGTCACAAACCCAATGTACTGTTATTCTGCTATTGAGAACGTGAACCTTGCAAGACATCGCCTATGAACCGTCTAGAATCATTAGGGTCCTCCAAGAAAAACAGTCAGTGTATTGTACCATGTACTGACTTGATAGCCAGAACTGAAGTATTGGGAAAATGTAGGGTGAACACAAAACTGTCTCCCTGAGCATGTTGTAAACTGACCATGTTCATTGTAATAAAGAAATATGTGGCTGAACTCAACAGTGTGGCTCATTTATGTGTATTTGGACAAAAAGGCTATATCCTGCTTTGCCTATAATGATGTTACTTCTTACCAGGATAAATTCATGGTTGGCTTTGTTCTCTTTAGGGAATTGGCTGATAATAAAATGATAAAAAATAATACCGGTGCTATGCTAAAACAACTGATTTACGTTTGTATTATTACAATCTTCTAAATAACTTGGTGAACATGGCAGCTGAAAAATATCTTCAGGTGAAAAAATATCACCATACTATACAAATTCAAAAGCTGTTCATGTTTTTTTAATGTCTACTACAGCTCCACCAATGACAGATCTTTGAGTTCAAACAATCTGATAACAATATATCTGCAAATAGATTTTTTTAACATGATAAAATTGATAAAATAATCAACCTTGATGCAGCCAGATCCTTAGATCATTTCTAATTGGGACCATAACTAAACGCAAAAATCAACTTGACAGTGATCTCTGGTGAACAGAGTATGTGATAGAGACCCTGTTTATAAATGACCTCAAACCTAGTTTGGTATTTCTATACTGCAACTACGAATCTATCTGCAATGTGCTAATATTGGCCAAGATATCCGCCTGGCCGACATCTAACGTGTACCAATAAGCAAGGCAACATCATTCACAGTCGTAGAATGTGAAGTCTCTTGCTTTTCTGAACTAAAAACACACACAATGAAGAGTGGGTCCACAACCCACTGTTTTCTAGCAGCCCCCTTTAGCTGATTCACCTTGCTGAAACCATCCTTGCTGAGTGTGTCGACATTCCACGGCATCTTCTTCTCTTCCCGGTTGTGTTCATCTATCTTCTTCTCCCACTCCCGTTCCTCTTTTTTCAGCTTCTTCTCCTCAGCTTGGGCTTTGATCAGCTCTGCTTTGGCATCATCCGCTGTTGAAATGCTTAGCTCTTGTACTTTCTTCTGTGCCTCTGCCACCCTACGCCGGCATTCACGAAGTGTCTTGTTCATGTCTTCACCTCTTTTCTGGAAATCTTCCATACGCTCCACACGTGCCTGAAGCACAAACATCCGTCACAACCACAGTTGTTTCATCTCCACCACAGTCTTTAACTGGGTATCTTTTATACCAATCAGAAATACTTTATTAATCCCAGGGGGGAATTTACTTTTTCATTACATATACTCCAGATGTAATAGACATACAATGTATTAAGAATATAGCCATACAATATATCTAGAATATAAAGGTTTAAAATGTAGTTTAAAGTCTTTCAAATGTGCAAAATGTGCANNAATTAACATTTAGTGTGCAGTAATCAGAATCAGACATACTTTAATAATTCCAGGGGGAAATTACTTTCGTTACATACTCCATATGAAATAGACATACATGTATTAAGAATATACAGTATAATTTAAAGTCACACTTTCAAATGTGCAAAAATGTCAAGTGTAAAGTGACCATGTGTACAGTATCCATGTGTAAGTGTCCATATGTACAATATATAATATATAATATACAATAGGTTGCATTAACAGAGCCATAGTCTTTAACCATGGTCCTCCACCCTCTACCACTTGCTTTCTCTAGCACAGGAAACACTGTCCTGCTAACAGATACAGTGCAATGTGCCCCATTTATACTACATATAAACATCACGTATGGTATACCTGGTGTCTCCATCTGAAGAGGCTGGGTGTGTCGATGTTAGGGTGGGTGTCATCTTCATCGTCTGACACCTCAATGTGGTCCCACACGCTGTAATCTATCCTGGACATGATGCCAGCAAGAACCTAACGCAAACAACGTTAGCTTGGAATATGACTCGGCTAAGTTAGTGGGCTAAACGAAGCAAACCCGAATTTCCAATCAGAAAAAAAGCATGTAACGCAAATAAAAAAAACAACAACCCCCGCTGATGTTTTCAGAGACGTGTACTCGTTGTTCAATGCAGCGGCTGGTTGTGCTGTGGCCAGACAAACACAAATAAACCTACCTAGCGAGCGCTAGCGAGAAACTGCTACACAATTCTCGAAAGATTTGCTGCTGCAAATTTCCGCTTGACGTCAGCGCGTCATTGCGTCACAAGGACGTACGACGCCGGAAGGCCTACAAGACGAGCGTCGCCATCACGTCATGTGTTTGCCTCCATCAACCGTTTATCAACCTGTAATATTTAAACATTGTTGTTGTTTTTTTACACATTTACCGAAGTAAACATGTGTTTTTTTTTTTTGTTAATTATGTAAAAAATATGTTTAGTTTGATTTTACGTTTTCATATCCATTAATATATTTTAACTTTTTCAAAATGTTTTTTCTTAATATCTTTTTTATGTTTTCTAAAACCTCCCTGGACATATGTAAATATGGTTTGCTTGTGTAGAAATGCAGTGTTAAAAATAAAGTTCACTATTCTTTATTCAGTAAACTGTTGTAGATATATAGAAAACATCTTTTGTTTATTCTAATATATTATTCACTCTTTAGATAGTTATGAGGATAAAATGATTGACAACACTTATTTGTTAATTCTTTTTTTTTTTTTTAAAGGTAATGACAAATGCACATCTAAATATAAATGTATGTTTTCTCTGCAAGGGATTTGCCCTCAAACTACTCCATAGTGCAATAGTAAAAATTCTTCAAACTGTGTGTGTGTGTGTGCAGTCTGATAGGCCATTCATGCAAGTCTGTTGCATGAAATACATGAATACATAAGTATGTTTATAGTAAGTCAAATATTTGAATAAAGTCAACCTTTCCTTTTTCCTCAAGTTTATTTAATTTTATTTTGAAATGTGGAAGATGAAAAAGATTCGAGGACAACACATTAACAAACAAATGATTACACAATCAATAGGCAACATTTCTTGTTTAGGCACCAGTTCAGCAAGCTTCTTTCTGGACTAATACAAAAGTTGCTCTGGGCTGACATACAGCAATCACACAGAGGGAACTTCACTGTAGAGTTATGTTAAGTTAATCTCACAACAACACATTTAGTTAGTGATACAAACTAGAATTGAATAACTGTACTTCCTGCACATGATGATGTCCACTTAAGTTGCAGCAGTTTCTTAATTTCCTGTCTCTATAAGCTCTAATATGTATGTCTGATGTGTGCAAACAATACCTTAAACTTGCTTTATTACCATCTTCAGTGTATTAAATTAACTTCTCATACAGCCTATGTTTAGCATAGCTTTTCAGTGATTTTCCCTTTGCATCTAAAAAAAAAAGGCTCTTAAAAAGTGCAACCAGGTCACCAAACTCGTTGTACTAATGACTAATGGTAATATAACAGGTCCAATGTGCTAACAGGGAAGTCAGGGAGATGTACAGTCTTTACACACTCCCACAGTCAGAGTATAAGCAGTCTGTGCTGACATGTACAAACATGTGCCTGATAACAGGCCGTGGACACAAAATGACACCAGGAGAAAATAATTCACTCTTACTTCCCTTTAATAAATAGTTTGGACAGATTACATTATAATGTTCAGCTGGGTGTACAAGAATATCCAGAGAGGTGTGACGTTTTGACTTGACAAACACAGATGTAATTAATAATATGACACTCCATGCTCCAGGGCCTCTCTGCAATGACATGTCTAAATGTCTGCAATGGAAAAGGCCCTTTCAGATTTAAATAATACAGTTAATTTAAAGTTCAATGCAGTTTTACAGATTCCTATTCTCCCAAATTACAGCTCAGCACACTGTATAGAGTGTTACACACTCAATAAAACATTGACACAATGTTTCAGCCATTATCCCCACCAAACGCATCCCACAGGGAGCTATGTGTTACTTCTGTCCTCGGTGGGTTTTGAGTCCTTAAACCCGGAGCAGCAGATGGAGTTTGCAGCGTGTGTTTTGCAGCACCGCCGCATCTCTCTGATCACATCCTCACACATGCTCTCCACGTATTTGTTAGCTGCAGGAAGGAGACGGAGTCAGCTGAATGACATTTGTTTACACGCTGGCGTTAACAGTGTCTGTTGTTATCTACCTTGTAAACACGTCTGAATTGCACACGCTTGCTTTTGACACGGGTCTTTCTGTGGCATACCTGGAAGGGAAGAGACAGGGACACATTTCAGAAGTTGTCCACTGGTAGTCAGCAAACACATATCAGCCGCTGCATATCTACCTTTATCAATTAGGGTTTGTTGGACGTATTATGGTAAGGTCTTAGATGAAAGGTCGTTTGCTAATGGTAGCCGCTAATGCTACTTCCGCCTTCTGCTGAGAGGCGAATGTTTTGGTCACTTGACGTGAAATGAGCGAATCAAGTAATGTCTGAAAAAGCGCAACACCGACACCTAGTGGTCAAATTAAACATTTCACTTACAGAAGGGTGGAAGGAATAAATGGCACAAATAAAACGTTTTTATGGAAGGTAATTATTAATCCAAATATGATTATGAGGAACTGTTTTGCTCTACTGTGTAAAAAAGTGTTTATGCTTTTATGGCACTTGAAAAATGAGTAAAGTATAGCAGTCACACCCAGCGGTACACCACTAATACTAATACACAATCTTATAATAATACGTATAATATAAAAAACAAGGCTTTTTCATTTTACTTTTATTCATAAAGCAAATCAAGAAAGGGTTTATATTTACAGTAATGGCCTGCTGATCTTTAGCATTCAGTATTAAAGTTGATACATTTATGATAAAGTAGTCATCATTGCTATATCAAGAGTAACTACACATTTGTAATGTTACATGGTAATTAAAATGAAAATAAATCTAAAAAATATATATAAATTAGATACAGGATATCACATGGAAAGCATAAAAAGTGAACTATATCCTATATCACCAATCTATCATACAGAATACTGAAAACACGGACAAATTAAATGACAGTTACCAAACATAGTATATTCAGATCTTTTAAAAAAAATGAGATCTAATTCTGCCTGATCCTTATAAATATCTGCTGAGTCATGAATGCATTGTCATTTCCATATCCCAAAGCTGCAATAGTGAAATCTCCTTAGTTGAATTTTTCTTGCTTGTCCAATGTGGTCATCTGATCCCATCTCAACATCTCTTGTTTCAAACACCTAAGTAAAAGCGAAAGAAGAAGCTGATAAGGACACAGTGTAATGGAGACAAGGTTCACATGTTCACTTCAGAGTTCCCTCCTACCTTTGGTCTTGGCCTTGACAATGAACTGTTTGCTCTTCTTCTCCAGTGTATTAGAGGCAGTGCAGGTGTATGTCCCTGGGAGCAGTGAGGAGGAGGAAAGAACTGCTTCATCCTCCATCCTCTCCTGAATGGGATGGGAGGATTCCCAGCTATACACAGGCGTGGGGTTTCCTGTGGCAGTGCAGTTCAAGCTCACTTCAGCACCCACTATAAAGTCCAAAACTTCTGGTTCAGGACTGAGGAATGTTGGGGGAACTAGAGAAAAAGATCACAGGGATTAGATATACCATCTCCAATGTATTAAACATATGAGAACTCTTTTTAAGATAGCTTCATGACTTACAGTACACAGAGGCATTAAGAGGCTCCGAGGTCACGGCAGGAGGTGGTTGTGGTCCCTCTGGTCCGAGCTCCAGCACTGCTACACACCTGTACTCCGCTCCATTCTCGGCTTTGGTTGGTGTGACTACGAGGATAGAGGACACTTGGACAGGCGAGGAAGATGTGAGGTCAGCGAAGGAATGGTTGTAAACCTCAGTCTGCCCTCTGTACCACCTCAGGGTGAGGTACTGAACCGGAGCAATATTCTGAACCTCGCAGAGCAGCTGGTACTCTTTTCCTTCCACCATGGGGCCAGTGTGGTTCACAGGCCTGATGGACACGCTATCTGGGGTTTCTAAATGAATAATACACAAAGTTTATGTCATTCAAACACCTTCATGTGAACCACCAAACTGTTTTAAAACAGGAGTTGACTCACTGTAGAGGACGAGGTTGAGTTTCTCCTCACACTGTCTCGGGGCTGTGAAAAACACACCATAGCAGATAGGCTCCTCTATCCAGTCAATAAGACTCTCTACCTTCCACTGGACAGACAGGTCCTGTTGAGTGTGTGCAGCACTGATGGCCGATTCCCAGCCCAGGACACGTACAGGGCGAGCGGCCTCACAGCTGACCGACACCGGCTCCCCAAAGCCCACCACCACCCTGGAGGGCTTGAGGATTAGGGAGCAACCTTCACCTGACACTGAGACATACAGCAGCAGTAATCATCATTATAGCCAGTGTCTTTCCATCTGTAGCACTTTTCATATTTAATGTATATAAGCAGGCTGTAGGTGCATTTTTATGTAACCCTGTTGCAACACACACAAGGAAATCACAAGTAGTAAATCAGAGATGGCCTTTTATTTCTAAAATACACCTGTGTATAATAATGAATGTATAGCTATCTTGCTAATTGTGTATTTCTATGTTATGGCAATAAAATGTGTAGCCAGTTTAATCGGTAGCCCGTCATTATTTTAGTTAGGTTAGTGTAGCCACCTAAACACAAACAGACATATACACCATACTAATTAGAATGATCGAATTCTGCGATGATTATTTCAATGAAAAATAAACCAGTGCTTTGGCTCGCTGTCGCACTCATTGTCATTATCACCGACGAGAGGTCATATGGTTAGCCCTACGCTTTCGTTCATCAATGCACCACTACTTCCATTAAGACAACTGCTGCACTAAACAGAATTTAAAAAACCCAACAAGTGAGGAAAAACATGTTGCCAACGACATCTTACCTGAGTAAAACAAGCAAAGCGTCAGAATCCATTGAAGAAAGTTGTTTCCCATGTTATTTTCTGCACCAAGGCGTCGATCAAGGGGCGAGAAAAAGAAAATTCCAACTTGAACGAGCTTGGCTACCCTGCAGGGAACTATGTTGGAACAAAAGGGCCCCCTTCATCCCAGCTGACTTTGGGGGTGGGGGGTAAAAAGGGAAAGAGGGAAATTTAACAGGTGGTAGCCCTCTGAAAAACACAGCCCAAACCTTTGTCCTGCATTGATCTTAGAAGGAATTTAGCAGGAAATGACAGGACTATATTACCACAGTAAATGTCACACTGGCAGTAATGCAGATACAACACTAAAGAAGCCTTGTGCTACAGTGTGCTAATTATATTGTGGTTTGGATATAAGATTGATGCATCCATTTCCAATATCTGGTGTATTACAGAGCAAAATGTGACTGACATAATGAATATAAATACATTTATAATAACTGAGATTCCTTGCAATTTATAGTATAAGGTTCATCTGACCTATATAAATCTCCTTGAATTTGCTCATCTGAATTAGACTATTATTTATGATATTGAGCAAGCAATGCTTTGTTTTTTTTAATGCTCTCTACATTCCAGCGTTAGGCGTGGCCATGTTATGCTTTTCTAACCACCTATTTTATCTCATCTCATCTCCCTGAAGAAAATCCTGTTTTCAGTTCTGCTTGTACACTTGTGTCCTATTGGTTTTGAACTCCATGCTTTGTGCAATCCCAGCAGGCAGGAGTATTGGTGTTGTGCAGCATGTAGCTTGTAAGCCTCACACTGTGACCAGAATGCTACACAGCATATCCACTCTGACTGCAACTGCAGTGCAAGTGAGCAAGTAATCGGATGCTTTTTGGTGTATTTATGGAGAGCACAGCTGGGAATCTCAATGTGCAGATTACAATACATGCTGGCTTCACTTTGAATATGCTGCTCCTTCTTCAAGTTCTCTAGAGAAATATGTTAAGCTTGTGTGTCTATAATAAAACTTTTTTTTTTACTCCATGACAAATTGAGCAGTATCCACTCTGCCAGGTTGTTATGGCAACACAGTCAGAGTATACACAAACAGTGCTTTCTGGCAAAAAAAACCTTACTGGGAATGACAGGGACTGAACATAAAGAACATGGTTTCAGAAAAAATAGGCTTATATTGGCAACCGTAGGCAGGATAACAAAAGCTCTCCTTTACATTCACTTTGTTCAGTACTAATTAGTATGGCAGTCTCAGCATTGTATAATGTAAGCCAGGCTGAAAGAGAGAGAGAGAGAGAGAGAGAGAGAGAGATCCAAGGGGTTGACAAAAGGTGGCAGTGAAACACAGCAATGAAAGACACTGGTTTGACTTTGCCTCTATCAGTATTCTGCTTCAGGAAGTCACTGACATAGAAGTTGGCTTTATTTAACAATTGATGTATATTCAAAAGCTGCTCATGCACACAATACATTTTTTAATTGTACCCTTTAAAATAACTTTCCATTTTTCAATTAATTCAATAAGAAAAGGCATGCAAATGGTAAATTAGCATTTTGTATCTCTAGTACTTATTTACTGATACATCAGACAAACTGTATGGCACTGCTGGTGACTCATATTCACATGATTTCATCAAAGCAACTGACTAGCCCATCATATGAAATTGTAGGCACAACACAGAAATGGCACAAGTGTTGTGTTTTCAGTGCAAAAACAATTTAACATTCTAGGGCCATAACAGTGCATACAAAACTAAACTAAACAAAAAAACAAAAAAAACTGAACTTGTGCCCAATTGCATCATTCAGTGTACTCTCAAGTAATTACTTTAACCGTAGTATAGTGCCTGGACAGTATATAGTAATAGTAGGAACATAATATACCTGAGTGGACAAAAACACAATTATTTTTTTCTTAAAATGTGGTCTTTTGTGTGTGCAGAGGTGTTAGAGCTCTTGTGTTGCTTGTAAAACGAAAAAGCGATACGTAACAAGGCAATAGTGCAAGCAGTAAGGCGAGGGAAATACCTGTTCTTACACCTCCTATAGCTTATTATCAGGCATACCTATTAAGGATTATACCTAAAGTCTACAATATATGTTGTCCTTTCAGCTGTTTTGGTCTAAATCATGTACAGTCTATGATCAATACCAACTCTCAACAAAAATATTTGTCTGTTCCATGCTTATTTTCATCACCTCTTTGAGGGTTTATCTAACATTTTTTTGTGCTGGAACCCACACACCTGCTGCTGGGGCATAACAAGGTTGATGAGAACAGTTCAGAACCATACAGTAAATGTTCAGACCATTAAACCAAAACAATGAGCTTAAAGAAGCTAATAAGCTCAGGAGAGATGCAGAGTTTGGCGGGGGTTCAACAGTAATTTGATTCAGTCAGTGTGTTTACATGGACCTAAGTAACCGGGCTGAAAGGAGAAAGGAGAAGTATCACTGTCACAGCACAGCGACATGATAAAAGCACTAAAAGCACACATACTAATACATATTCAAAACAATTCAAAGTCAGACGCAAACTGAAACAAACAAAGTAGATTCTAAATATCAGTCAGTGAGTCAGGAAGCAGAATTATAGTCCATTAACATAAAATAAGGTGTAAAATAATAATAAAAAATAAGCCATGCCAGGTTCTATCTTCAATAAATGTTAACACGTTCTACGACTGACTGATTGATTGATTGATTGATTGATTGATTAGTGGAGCTTCAAAGACAGCTGATGGGATTATGCATTCAGAAAGCTACAGGCCAAGCATGAGCAGTCCACCAGCTCACCGTGCAGAACAAACCACGCCCCCAGGCTTTTAAGAGACACAAAACGGTTTCTCCAAGCACCAAAAAACGTAAAAAAATAAAATTTTCATTAAAAAGCCATGCAAAATTGTATTTAAAAAAAAGTCATCCTCATACAGGTCCTGAGGTAGGATGTCCTCTGAGATAGCTGCCCTTGCAGAAAGAAAACGTTCCTTCGGGTGTCACAAAATAAAGGCCGGCAATGAAGAGCAGGACTCCCAGGGATGTAAATACTCCAACCAAGACAGCAAAGGTTGTACGATCCCCTGTGGGAGATGGGAGTTTTTGTTACATTCTCTCTCTTAGCTCATGTGTTCTGACCTTCTGGTCTTGCAGCAGAGGAGTTTCTCTGTTTGTGATAAACTATGAATACCAAAATAAAGACTAGAACAAAAAACACAGCAATTAAAATCCCAGCAGTGGTCCCAGGGTGACTACCAGGGTGACTACCTGATGGAAAAGACAGCATGAAGAAATTATAGAATAATTAACACGGCAAGACAATGATGGAGCAGATCAAGCTCAGAAACATGATGATTTTAGGATCAATATCTTACCTTTAGCTTCGTTGACAATGAAATATTTGGTCTTGGTGCCCTGGGTATTAGACGCTGTGCAGCTATAGGTCCCTGCAAGCTGAGTGGACGTGGTCAAAATGGGCTGATTCTTGATTTGTTTCTTGTCCGTCCGTTGTATGGAGTGTGGAAATTGCCAGCTGTATTCCGGCGTTGGGTTTCCTCTAGCAGTGCAATATAAAGTGACTTGACTATCAGCTGAAGCTTCCAGCGTCTCATTTTCCGGCCTGGAGAAGATTGGTGAGTCTGAGGATATACATTAAATTAAAATACAGACAGAGAGAGAAAAACAAAAGAGAAATAATGCAATTAAGAGAAATGCAAAAGCACGAATATTGTCGTCTGTGATGGTTAAATTAAGATGGCATTAAAAACTCACACAGAACAATCAATCCACGTGACTGTGATCGAATCGGGTTGAGATCTGGTTCAGCGAAAAGGTTCAGCGTTGCTTCACACCAGATCTGAGTTCCGTTATCATCTGCATGGGCCGTCAGACTGAAGACAGATGACTTTTTGACTGGAATTTCAGTGGACTCGTCAAATGTTTCCTTATGGACTATCTTATTTCCTTTGTGCCAGTGCACAGAGAGCTTTCTTACTGGTGCAACATTAAAAATGTCACACTGCATGCTGTAGTTTTTCCCCTCTACCAGAGGGCCCATTTCACTCGGCGGAGACATAGACACACTGTCCGGCATTTCTGTATAAAAAAAAAGTGACAAGTTTTAATGTCAGTAGGACTAAATAATCAAAAACTACAACAGGGTCTGCAAAGCAACTTCAAATAATATTAAGGGCTACTTACTGTAAACGGTGACTGGAAGGGTTTCAACACACTGTGAACCGTTAAGCAAATTGATATAGCATTGTGGTTTTAAGGCCCAGTCTGTGACAGAGCTTATGTTTAGGGCAAGAAAAGTGATCCCATTTTTAAGCGATTCACCTCCGTTTGTAGACTCCCAGCCCATTCCCTCTACCTGGTCGGATAATGAGCTGCAGTTGGCAAAGAACGGGTCCTTATATCTCACCACAGATGTGGGAAAGCTCAGCTTAATTGGACAGGAAGAACTCACAGCCTTTCCTAGAAGTACACAGTATATATTATAGACATGATGAAACATTAGTGTTTTACACAGCATTATAGCTTTGTTTTTCAAACTCTGGATTTTGACCCAGCGTAGACACATAGCACACTTGGAATGGGTTGAGTGGTCACCAGTTAAAAAATAAATAAATAGATAAATAAGCAGTACTAGTCAATTAAATGATCTCACAGACAGGAGGATATAAGACAAACAATGACACAAACAGTGTAAATGCATGTTTTTTTAACTACTGAACTGAATTTACATTGAGAAATTGTGGGAGTCCTATTAAATACATTCATGTTTGCATAGATAAAGTACCAATATTCAGAAATGTCGGTTTAACTTACATACAGTGTGTTAGGGAACAGTGAACTACGTGTAACTGAATTATTAGTTTAACTACATTTTGCAGTAGCTTGCTGCTAGTTCCACTAAAAGTATATTTGCAGAACGATCCAATTAGTTGAAGAAGATAAATTATTATTTGCCATTTTTTGTGCTGTGAAACTATTTTTCTTTTTCTTTTAATAATTTGCTTGGATTGTCAGCTCACCTGTGAAACATATTTGGTTCTAGTTGTTAATGTTTTCAATCTGATCTTTTTAAAACTAAACTTGAGTGTATTTGGTGTCAACGGATCATAACTATTCATTACTGTTAAGTATTATCAAATGTTCAGAGAAGGCATTGCATGCTATTTTAGGAGTTACCTGGCTAACAGAGTAACCCTGCTTGAAACAAATCCCACATTATTTATTTATTTTCGGGTTTATGTATAACCTTTGAACAACTGGACACTTTTTTCCTATACACTCATACCTTTTCTAAGCAGCTTTAGTTAAACAAACAATATTTCTCACTAGGGCGGCTTTGCTGTAGTTCAGTGGACTTTGAAATCATTGGTAGCTTTCAAAGTTCCCAACACTGTATCGCTATATATGGTGAGCAACTACACTACAAATCCATGTCTTGTGTGCTGCTGCCCTCTTGTTCAGACATAGGATTTGGACAAAGAATGACTTATTAAAGTTTACACACGAATTCAAAGTATGAAGACAATCTGCAAGGAACTCTGAAGGAAATTATGTAAGAAGCCAGTGGATAAAAAAGCAAACATATGATCGTTAGGTTAACCGTGACAAACTATGGGCGTAGGCCAGGCTCAGGTCGACACCATGATGTTCAGACTACCAGGACAGATAGTGGGACAAACGTTTACGTAACACTAATCTAAGTTAGTTCAATAAAAGCGAAGGAACAGGAAATAAAGCAGTTACCTGTACACGCTATGAAGCCGCAGAATATGAAGACCCACATGTTGATTTCACCAAACAGCGACACCTTTACTAAAAGAACCACAACAATAACATAAAATAAAATAAAAAGAGATCCCGTTTACTGCTTTCCTAATGCCCTTCCCTTCTGCGGTGTCTTTCCTGGTGAGTCAGGTCATAGAAAGTCCCGAAAGTAAAAGTATCTGTGGCGCACAGAAGTTTCTGCTGTATGGTTGGACGTAACTTAAATAGCATGTGCAACAGGCGGCAGCGACCGGGCCGAGTGTACTAATGGGCTGGACTTACAGGATGAACCGAAAGAAATACTTCGAAATGCTTATTTGACTGTATTGCAAAGATAATTTATTCCTCTCGCAGTATAGTTGCCAAGACCGATCACCGGAAATGGCGAACCAGTTTAACCCTAACCCTAACCAACCTGCGAAAAGTACAGGAAGTTAATCTTCTCATTGCAATAAAGTGAATTCACATATTGCATAAACTGGCGAACTAACTGTTTGAACGTTTCCACCGTGGAGCAAATACTTTAATTCTACAACCATAAGATAATGCATGTTACACGTACACATAGCACTGTGTCACATTACAGTTATTCAAGTATTCAAGCAATTAAAGGATCATAAAATGTCCCCTTTCCGATCAGGGGGTAGTTCTTGAGTTATTTATGTAATTGTAATGTATGTGGTTGCAGTTCACAAACCCAACGTTTTCAGTATTTCTGCAGATTTGTTTTGTGTAATATGAAACATCTGCTGGATAGTACAGTGCAGAGGTTATCCTCAGTGTGTGGGCTGGTGCTCTCCTACAGGGTCAGCAGCCGGATAAATGGAGATGCATGTGGCCTCTTGCTTATTATTAGCCCCATAAAAGACTGCAGACCAATAACTTTAGATGCCTTGTTATTTCCTTTTTCCAAAGTAGACATAAGTTTGGAGCTTTGTCACGGGTCTCTGAGGCAGATTTACCAGGCAAGAAGAAGCTTTTTATAGAAGCTATTATTGCACAGTGTTATTACTAAATTGAAAACATGACAAAATGAGTCTTATGTTTCCAGTCATACATTTATGCACATCAGATATATTTAGTCCTATAAGATTTTACACCAGTCACAAATATTTACAGCTGTATTCACAAAAGTGTAGGCACGACTTCAACTCCGCAAACTCTTGCAACATTTTCAACTTTTACATACCTGTCTGCAGTCCACTTTCAACTTTTTACTTTTTCTCATAAATAAATATAAGGTTTTGCATTTACATAAAATATTATACAGTTCTGATTGTCATTGGGCAATAATGCCTGCAGTCACTCATACAAAAGCATGTAACTGTGGAACAAGACAATTTGCCCCAGAAGGCCACAGCCTGACACGGTACGGCACAACAAAGGGCAGGCACAAAGAAGGCTACAGACTCGTAAGTAAGTGCAGAGTGGCTTACAAAAAATAGTGAACACGCAATGGGCTCATTGAAATGTTTGCACAAGCAATGGTGTTAACAAATTGAGCAAAGTTGCTTCTCTTTTTCACAGATTCAATGTCACATCTACAGAGTGGCCGATATAAGCAATGGTGGAGTGGAGGAAAATGTTGTTAGTGTGACTGTGTTAAAACCACAGCAGTCTCAGGGTCTTCACTTCTTCACAACTCTTTAAATGCACACTAAAATCATTGGTTTGTAAAAGAATTACATACAGAGATCTGAGTTTGAGTGAATATCAAGGGGGCATGATTATTATTTTTTTTTTTTAAATCAAGCATTATTGAATCCAAGGTCAATAAAAACATTCATAACATCATATTAAATTCCCTTTGTGCACTTAAATAGTCAGAGCCAAAATTTGAGTCCTTACTCCACCTCCTTCTTTCTGTCCAGTGAAAAATCCAGTAGTAAATATAAAATTGTACATCTCAAGCCAAGCTTGATTATTTTTATAATTAGATAATTCCATGAAGGGTAAAACACTATTATATGTGGGAAAATAGATGTGAGGATGAATAAAATGGATTTCCAAAAAGTTCAGTGTGAGCCTGCTGCTGGCTGAGTGGTATTAAGGCTGTCAAACACTGTAGTTTCTGTTGGCAGAGAGATGCAACTCATCCAGAGTGGTCAGCTATCCATTCTGTGCCATCAACAGATGTACTGCTAAGACAGTTTGGTCATAGGAAACTGCATGTCCCAGCCGTTGTGAGCCACGTTGCCATTGTGGGTGCTGAGTTTGGGGTTTTTAAGACTGTAGCGGCGCATCCTGGTGTTCTTGTAATAGATTGAGTAGATGAAGAGGAAGATGATGGAAATGACAACTACTGTGACAGCCACAAATCCAGCTATGAGGGGAAGGTAGTCCTCTGTAATGAAATTAAACAGGCAACATATTCATGTTTAAGAATTTAAAAACAAACCATTTCCATTTCTGGCATGCTTCACTACACGATCACTACGTCTATCTATATGAACTTTTTGTCTTTCTATTTAAATTTCTATTAAAGATGCACTTTACTAATTGGATGCAGATGCACAAATGAAAATTATGAAAAGCCTGCTAACTATTTACCCAATTGTATTTGTATGATTATTGTAAAAACATGGAGCCCCTCTGATTATAATATCTAGCAACAGAAAACAAGTCATTGTATAAAAATAAGCTTAATATTTGTAACAAAACGTACCCAAACTTCCTACATTCCACCGGCCTTCTGTCTTTTTGTTTCTATCTTTGTACGCAAACAGCGTTGTATCATATCGCTCAGAGAAATCGCACTGCACCAATTTTAAATAAAATGTATGTGGCTGGGTAAAATCCTCCTCGAAGCTGTGTAACTTGTTGACTTCATATACACTAGTGCTACCTCTAAAGTAATTTAATGCATTTGGTCTGAACAAATGTTATAGCTCACAGTCACACAGAGAAATTGTGTGTGGGTGGGGTTATTAAATAATCTTTGGCAGATGCTTTAACCTCAAGTAAGTAAAATAAAAGTTTTGAGCAACATAAACCCATAAACTATCTTACATAGATTGTATAAAAGGGAAGAAGAAGGAGTACTTATTTATGAGCTTCAACCCCTTTCACTACTGGGATATTTACTCTATTTTAATGGTAAAACGTGCAGATTTTCTTCTACAAATGATACAATTGAGTTTAAATTAAGAGTGTTGTTACCTTTTAAAATCACTTCGACCTCATAGAAGACGGAATCGACATCATTGGTGGCGCTGCAGTTGTAGATGCCTGCTTCAACTACGGTGAGCTTGTTTTCAGACTTATTTAGCTTTTTTCCTAAGCTGTAGAGCCACTGGATCTTTGGAGATGGGTGACCGTCAGCCTCACAAACAAGGTCCTCAGGATAACCTCTGAACACAGGGATTGTCTTTGGAAGCTTTGTGGTATTAATGGTGGGTTTATCTGTTGAGAAATGATGGCAAATAGAGTACAGTGATGAAATGTCCTCAAAGGAATTACAGTAGAACTACACTAACTAAGCTAATATGTTAGTTGGGTGTGGAGACACTAATACCATTTAACACTTTGTCCTGCACTTTTGATGTCACAGTGTTGTCTTAATCGTGACTACTGAGCAGTATATTTAAATGTGATCTCACAGTTGACAGTGATGTTGAAAGGATCCGACGTCTTGTTTGGAGGAGATTGTTGTCCGTCAAGTTCAAGATCCAAATGAGCCACACATCTTAACGTTTTTCCGTTGTGCGTTCTGTTCAGAGTGACGGTGATGATAGAAGACACATTCAACGGGGATCGGATCATTTTGATGTCACAGTCTGAGTTATTCCCAGACAGGCAGCCAGTCACTTGCATTGAGCCTGATGGACGAATGAACATTTTGAAGAAAACACAAAGTAAAAAAGAAAAAGATTAAATTCATACATTGGCTTGGACATGTTGATGACAGTGAGTAAGGGTCGAACAATTTTATGATTTTTTTTATTTTTTATTATCGTACTACTGTAGTTTCCACTGTGTGGCGCCCCCTGGTGTCACTGAGTGTTTGGTGTTTGTTTGTGTCAGGTGATCTTGCTCAATGTCCCGCCCAAAACGCTCTTTCATTGGTCACACATCTCAAGTAATAGCCTATCAACACTGAAGGCTACACAGAGGAATGCATTTGCAAACTAGAACAGCTCCAGTGTGCGAGCAGAGCTGTGTTATAAAGTGCATTTACTTAAGTACTGTACTACAATTTTGAGGTACTAGTATTTTACTTTTTTACTTCACTAAATTGATTTGATAATAAGTAAATAGTTTCTTTGCAGGTTTATAAACTACCCATCAAAATATAAAGTAATTAAAATGAGCCCCGCTAGATGAACACATGAATGCATCATTAGTTATATTCTAGTAACATAACATATGTTATTTTGAAATGGGTCATTCTGCATTTTTACTTTAGGTACATTCAGTTTATTTTATGCTAATCATTTAAGTAAGATTTTGAATGCAGGACTTTTACACTGTGGTATTGCTACTTTTACTAAAGTACAAGATCTGAGTACTTCTTCCACCACTGGTTAATCCATACGTGGATTATATAGATGGTGTACAGTTGTTAGAGTTTTAGTTAGTTAGAGTTTTAAATAACTGAAACCAACTAAATGCATACCACAGCGGTTCTGAAAATAAATTAAACATAATTGTGTGTAAAGCAAATGCATATCACTTCCAAATATCAGTTGTCAGGCTCCTTAATAACTGATAATTGGTATATGACTTCTTTGGGTTGCCAACCGTTGTATTTCACTCTCTGCTCTGTCAACATAAACAGATTTTACACACTGCTACAATGAAAATAAAAACCAATGTGTTAAGCTGATATGAGTATCCTCAAATGATTCAAACACTGATGCAAATAAGAGATAATCTGGTGAGAAGACAGAGTTGTTGGTATATCATATCAGTGACAAAATGATTATCGATTCAATGAACTTCCCTCACAGTGCACAGTAAAATAATTTCCCACCAATCATGCTGGTTGTTTGATGAGCAATATCTGATCAATAAAAGAAATTACGCATCATCATCATATCATTAGGATAACCAGTGAATATTAAAGTTAACATCAAATGGTCACACACTTCAGTCAGACATTTGAACAAATCTACAGTTTCATCAGTTTACTCCGCACACGTCTGTTGATGCTGTATTGCTTTGAACTGAAAAAGTTCGACTAGCACTGGTGGATTTACTTGGCCTTACAGAAAAGTTAGTGTAAAGAAAAGATTCCCCACCTTTGATGCTTGTTTCAAAATTTTCATCCCCTCTGTACCAAAGCACAGTGAGGTTTTGTGCAGGAGCAACGTTGGTAATGTCACACCGCAGCTTGAACTCGCTCTCCTCCAACACTGTGCTCAAGTTATCCACATGATGGATGGAGACACTGTCTGGTGTTTCTGGGGAGAGCATTTTAAAAAAGAAATCAAAAACAAACAAAAAAAAGAATCACGAGAAATACGTTTAAAGTTGATGACAGTGAAAGTACAAAAATAAGTTGGCAAAACATACTGTAGAGAGTGAAGTCTAAAGGTTTCCCGCAGTTTCCTATTCCTTTAAATGTCCCATTACAAAAAGGCTTTGGGTCCCAGTCTTTATGGGTGTCAGCAATCCAACTTGTGCTGTCAGTTTCGACGCCTTGAACCGTCCAGTGTATTTGTCCGATGACATTGCTGGAGTCGTTGGATGCTGCCTTGCATGTTGCGTATTGGCTTTTGCTTTGGTATTCAATCACCATCCTGTCCGGAGTTATTTCAATAGGGCATTCTTGCTTGGCACCTGTGGAACGTAAAGTGGGGTGGGGGGGGTCAAGAAATGTTATTCCAGCCTAAGTCTACATACACATCCATTATCTTAACCCAACATTTCCACTGCGTCTCAGGAGGCAACAGGAAAAGGCTCAGGAAGGATATACCCCTCCCTTACAAAAGTCTGCACTTGCTGCCCACCATTCTTTATTACAGCAATGTACATATCAGCGAAATGCGTCACATTCCACCCAGCCCATTTCCATCGATTAGAACAAACAACAGGAATATTAACGTGAAAAGATTTTGTTTCAAAAGAAAACTCTAATATAAAAAAGGATGTGCGAGGAGGCTTAAAACATTATTACATTACATTACATTACATTACATACTACAAAAGGTCCCAACTTATAATCAGACACACCTTACACCACCAACAAGTAGCATTGCTGTTTTTCCACTGGTATTCACACTCACAGTCATTGCTCCCTATTTAAAGCACATATGAATATTTCTCATTCAATTCAGAATTTCCTGTCTCCTCTCAACTTTTTTTTTTCTTTTTTTAATATACATCAGTGTGTTGCTTTAAGTCTCGTCACTCAGCAGGCTACTTAAATAGACCAAAACAATCCCACTTTTTGTTCCTTATAAGTCCATCCAGCCTAATAGAGCCGTTTCAACCTCGACATTAAGAATATAAAAATAAAAAAGGTAAACACTCGCTCTGTGACTCGCTCTCGTGTTGCACAACTCACTCGATCCTGTCCCGTTAGAAAGCGACAGCAGCTGTAAAGTGATAAGCACCGAAAGGAGACGGAGAGAGTTTAAATCATCCATCGGAATGAAGTCGTCTTGGAGGGTTTTCTCCAGCAGCTGTCCGCCCTATCCTGTTACACCGAGCCCGTCTGAGGTTCCCCCCTTGCTTCCTCTCCGCTGCATATGGGACGAGCCAGCGGCCACTTGTTCACTTTTTTTGGAGAGAAAGCGAGCTAAGCTAAGCTAAGGCTGCATGCACTCACTGCCAAGCTCCCAGCGCCTCATCACCGGAGAGGAAACTGGGAAATATCCCTCCCCCCCCCAGCAACACTGGGCACGCACACACGTACACACGCACACACGTACACACGCACACACACACACACACACACACACTCACACACACACATTTAGGACAAGCCCTCACACCCACTGTGTCTATAAATGTTAGTGGCTGGTTGTGTAAGTTGGCTACAAGTGATCGAGACTTTAGACACCAATGGTTGGTTGTAGCATTGTGATAAATAAACTGTTTTTATGACATAGATAGATAGATAGATAGATAGATAGATAGATAGATCTTCCAAAAACATAATAAATATACCATGTTAACATTAGCATGCTTACATGCATACAGTGCAAGTATTTGTTTATAGTATATACAACTTAATATTTATTATCATCACCTTCAAACCGGCTGATGTTTTGCAGGTATGATGTTTACCATGTTCACCAGCTTAGTGTAGCATGTTAGCATCCTAACATTTGCTCATTACACTGTAAAACCAATTAAGTTAATTTAACTCAAACTTTTTGAACTTGTTGAAACTGATTACATTTATATGTTTAGGTAAAACTAACTATATTAAGTTAAAAAAACATTCTTGATTAAGTAGCTTTAGTAATTTTAAGTAAGATGTGACTTAATTTTCATTTTTTTTATTTGTAGCGTGAAGACAAAAGACCTAGTAAAGGTTATTAAATAATTATTAACTAAGTTAGTGCCATGTAAAATTATTAGTAAAAGCAGCTTAATTAGGAATCGTTTTTAACCTAAAAAAATATGTTTGTGTTACTTACTACTACTAGATTTTGATGCAATCAGTTTCAGCAATGAATTGAGTTCAAGGAACTTGACTCTTGGGAATGCCATTTGTTTTGCAGTTATCTGATCATAAATCAAAGTATTGGACAACTGAAATTTAGACCTGATGATGGCAATAGATGAAAAGTCTGGATCACCAAAAGTATTACATGAATGTGTGTACCATTATATTCATAAAAAATAATCAACATTCATATCTGGGAACCATAAATATCTAAAGAATCTATCCAGTAGATGTAGAGATATTTCACAGAATAAATAAGAAGTGGTTGGTTGGTCAACCACTTTGACAGACCGACAGAGACAGACATAATAATGTAATGAGCAGGCTACCGATGACTGACGAGTTCTTTACATTGTTGCATTAGCCTGCTGATTACATTAAAGTGGTAAATACATTATATTGACCCTACCTTTTACAGTGACTCTGGCCGTTTTAGAAACATTTCCTTTGTCATTCGAGGCATGACATGTGTAAGAGCCCATGTTGTATGCATTAGCATTGTAGATGGCCAGAAGGGACACTCCATCTTCATTTTCCTCCACCACATTGGAAGTCCGGTAATAATTCCAGATATATGTCGGCCGTGGGTTGCCCATGGAGGAACACTTCAGATATATAGTAGAACCAACGTCGACTTCAGAGTCTTCAAGCTCAACTATCTGTGACGGTGGGTCTTGAGACAACAACATAAAAGTCAGAGAGAAAGCACTAGTGCAAAAAACTAATAATAGCTAATAGCAAATATTTAGGATTTACATTTAAAAAAAACCTTACATATGACATTAATCTCTACTGTGAGGTTGACACTTGTCAGATTGTTTGAAGCTGTGATCAAGTACTGCCCTGCATCCCTTCTTGTTATGTTCTCTGGAAGCTCCACCTCCTCGCCATCTCTAGACCAGATTATATCAGGTTGAGGATAACCCTCAACCGTGCAGGTGAGGTTGTGAGGAGCATACTCCAGTGCATGGAAAGAGCTCGGACACGTCAACTCTGGTCCATCTGAAAGCGAAAACACAAAAACATTTACACACACAGTAAAATGCTGTTTACACATTAAAGCATAAGTAGTAATAATCCAAAAATATCTAACAATTTGGCCATTCTGCATAATACATACTTTAGAATTGAATAGTTTAAGTATATTTTCTTGACAATGCTTCTATACTGGTACTTAAGTAACATTTTAAAGCCAAGACCTTTTATTTTATTTGTTTTTTGAGGGCCATGGCCTTGGTACAGTGCCAGCTTTACCAGGTGAGTTACCAGGGCACCCCAAGACCTTTACTTCTTCTTATTATTTTATGTATTAGTATTGTTTTTTTACTTAAGAAAAATATCTAAGTACTTCTTATACCACTACACCTAGCACCCTAGTGTCAGCTAGGCCCAAAATTAATATGTACGCCAAGCAATTTGCAAATATAAACACTACATTGAAGACAACACAAATGAGAATTCCGAAAACAAAATGTTTTTCCTCTTCATGCTCATGTGGGGGCCTAGCTGTTGGTGCTGATGACTGGACTTGACACTCACACAATACAAAAACCCGGAGTTTGTGGATGAAGGAGGAAGCCTCATCTTTAATGGTGTACAGCCCTGCATCCCCTCTGCTCAAAGGTATGGACGGGTCTACGTGCTGTCCATTTTTCAGCCACCTGACAGCCGGGGTGGGATTTCCTGTCACAAAACAATGTTTCTCCAAAGTTTCTCCTTCCAGTATCTCAGGGTCAGAGCAGTTTACATCTGGTCCAACTAGAAACAAACAGAGCAGCTATTTATATATACCTTTTACCATTAAATGGTAGAAAAGCAGCTAAGAGAAATGAGGCACAAAAACTGATGAAATATTGGTATTTTGTGTAGCCTTGTAGACCAAGATCATTTACACTACCTGAAAAACTTCTTCTTGTAGAAGAAGTATACTATATTAGGCCTGCGACTAACTTGTTTTCATTATTAATTAATCGGATGATTCTTTTCTTTATTAATAATTTGATCAATAAAACATTAAAAAAACAATGAAAATTGTTTATTTTGAAGCTCAAGGTGACACCATTAGGTGACTTGTGTTGTCTGACCAACAGTTAAACACCCAAAGATATTCAGTTTACTATAGTAGGAGAAGAGAAAGCAGCAAATCCTCACACTTTAGAAAGTGTTTTTTTTATCTCTTTTAACTCTTTTAACAATTTATTTGATTATCAAAATAGTTGCTGCTAGATTTTCTGTCTATCGACTAATCGCTGAATAGAATAATCATTGCATCTCTAGAGAAAACAGTATAGAAAAAATAACAGACATTAAAATTGTCTGTTTTAAAATACCTAAATATGCTTAAAATAGATAAGTACACATGATATACTTACAGTGAACTGTGATACTATACTCCTGTGATGATACATTAAGGTGTGGGCCCTCTGGACCCAGGTCCAAATGTGCCTCACATCTGAATGTGACTCCGTTGTCTTCTCTCTTCGGTATAAAGCTGAGGACAGATGGCTGATTCACTGGTTCCTTACTGGTATTGTTAGAAGTGTCTATATGGAAGACTTTATCTCCTTTGTACCACAATACTGTGAGATTCCGAACAGGTGCTATATGGTCAATGTTACATGTGAACTTATATTCCTCCATTTCTTTCATCACACCAGCGTAGCTGCTGCTGCTAATGTTGATGGTTTCTGGAAATGCTGGAGAAAACGTAGAGGTTATCAGAGACAGTCACAGTGTTCTGTAGTATAGTATAGCATATTATTCTGTTGTGTGCAAAATAAACAGACTTACTGTAAACTACAAGTTTTAGGCTCACAGAGCACTGGTCTTCTGGACCATCTAATAGGTTGATGTAACATGAGGCAGAGGTGGCCCATACTGTTGTGTTCACAGTCCAGGTCAAATGATTGACCTGCACTAGACTTATGCCTTCATGTGTAGCCTCCCAGCCCATTCCTTCGATCTGGCTCGCCGTTGTACTGCAGTTGACTGAAACTGGGTCTCCATATTTCACCACAACACTTGGGGGGCTCAACTCAATGGGACAGGAGGCATGTACACCTACAGTGCAGGTACATGTGTCACATAATTGCCACAAGAGAAACATTTCATTGCAATGTTTTCCTTTTATGCATTGTCAGTAAGATTGATTCAAAGACTCATGGAAGTAGTACTTATGTAATAAAAAGATTAATAAATTCTGGCTTAGTCAAAAAGCTGGGGAAAAAAATCCATGCTATTCATTTTTGTTTTCACATTAAGGTCCAATGTGTAGGATTTAGTGGCATCTAGTGGTGTAGTCCCCCTTGCTTCACCGTCCTCTTCCAAGTGTGAAGGAGAAACTACGGTGGCCCATTAAACGTGCAAAAAACGCTGCTACCTAGAGCCAGTGTTTGGGTTTGTCAGTTCTGAAATACTGTAGAAACATTTTGGTTCAAAACGGACTCCATGGAAGGTCTGTAGATAAAAATGGCTCCTTCTAAGGTAACAAAAACATAAGAATTACTATTTTCAGGTGATTACACACATATCTATGAATATTATATTCATGTCTGCCAATAGATCCTGTTAAATGTTACACACTGGACCTTTAACTCCAGTAAGTAAGCAATACCCTACCTTGTAAAACTCTTCATTGCTGCCCTATAATAGCCTACAGGTTTTCCTAATTGATAAGCTGAAGTGGGCCTTTAAAGCATTTTGTATATCATATACCATAGAATATTTCCTATTTTAAAAAACATTTTCACTTTTTATTTTTAGGCAAAAACAATATTGAGACGTTTATAAAATACAATTATATTTCAATGAAATAATATTATTATATATTAAAATGATTAACAAGGTAAAATAACGCACTATTTTGAAGGAGAACCACAAGGCTGCAGATTGGATGTATTAAGAAGAACTGCCCTTTTCCTGCCATGGGTGTTTTCCCCAAACTGTCAAACCTAGCGAACTGTAACAACAATTGTTTTTTAAACGACTTTATTAAAAAAAATAATAAACAGCAGTCAAACATCATAGCTTTAAAAAGTCAGAATTGGCTATATGTTTCAGAATACTCTTGACTTTTCTTTTTATCTGTTTACTGCTTTCAAAGAATCCCCATGGTGACATTACACAAACTTATTAGAAAGTGTAAGGAAATATAGACCTATAAATGTACCCAACAATGTGATCAAATTATCTTTAAGACGGTTTGCAATTAAGGTAAGCAAAATGTTGTTGTTGTTTCATCTACACAGTCCTTTGAATCTTATCAAGAGCCCAACAATGGAAATCCATATAAATGTAAGCTATTCTTCAGCTTTATTTTAAAGAGGTTGGGCTAGAGCTAGACTCCAGCCAATTCCAGTAAATTGTGCAACAGCCTTTAAATGACTGTTACCACAATTTAGCACTATTAATTTGAGGGAATTAAGTAGGAGGTCTGATTTAATCGGCCCCTCATTATTATTGGACTTTCCTAATGTTCTCAGATGCATTAGAGGATTATTCAATGTCTTTATAGAATATTGCTTCAGTCTCTCAGATTCACATACTTTTTGTAATAGCCTTGGTTATGTGAAACTTCTTTGTTAAGGCTCAGTTTGCCCTCGGGGACTCACGGAGCTGACAGTCTCTTTCTTTCCATATAATACCGCTCCCTTCTGGTTAAAACCAAGTTCTGCAACTTTGCCATGTGACAGTTTTACCTGCCGCTATTTTAATGTTAATGATGAACACACGTTTTGATAAAGCGGTTGCCTATACGGCGTTTTCATCACATTTCAGTACATTTCATATAGAGTTGATGGTTAATCAGTGAAGTATCCCCTCTGTACAATGATAAGACAGTATAGCCCTCATTAGGCTATAGACAGTATAAAGCCTATAGAGCCACAACCTCAGCAAAGAACGTGAAAAGAGCTTACCTGTCGCACTGAGAAGGAACCCCAGCAAGAGTCGAAGAAATAATTTGCTTTCACTCATTTGATTTGAACAATGTCCCTTTTGTCGTTTATTCCAGCTCTGCTCAGCTTCTCTTGTTCTCTTCTGGCTGATCCCTCGCAAATCAATGAAGTAGGCTACATCTAGGAGAGAGATAGAGATAGAGATAGAGAGAGAGA